ACAGCCTTTTAATAATATTAATAGTAGTATACAAGTCAGACATGATGCTTTATAACCATTTTGTAAATGTTTTAATGACGTGAGAGAATCGAAATGGGTTCGCGACGCACATGAGCAGTGAAGCCCAGCAGCGGATCCGAGCTGTAGTCAACGACGCGACGATGTCCGTCGGGTTCGATGAGCGAATAGCGACCCGTAACGTATTCGCCACGTCGATGCTCGAACTGGTCCTTCACATCGCCCGTGTGGCTGTCGTGCACGGAATAGTGGAACTCGTATTGAGGCGGGCTGGAGATCAACTCATCGGCATGGCCAACAATGATGCCCGCCTCAGCTATTGCAGCTGCAGCGCACAGAATCAAACTGAAGGTCTACAAGTGGGAAATAAATATATATTGTTCGATACACTGAATCAATGAGCTTTCCAATTTAAACCACATACCACGATGTTCATGGTGCTGCCAGTTGAGTTTGAATTGCAAAGTGAGCACAGCTGACTCAAAAGCCGAGATCTAGTGAACTGATGACAAACTGATCGCGATACCCTCTTTATATATGCCACCCGGGGCAATCTGCTGCAAGACACATGGCCCATTGTCACCGTGGCCAAGTTGTGAAGCTGTGCAGCTTTGAAACCGAATCCCCCGACAGTGCAATCTCTTACGCAACGCACGCGTCTCTGCCGCGACTGAAGTTGCAGACAGATGGGAAATGATATCTGATGCGTCTAAGAAAACAAACTCGGTTTTGAGTCAAGTTAGTTTTGCAACAATTAATAAACTTTTAATTCACGGTTTAACTTAAAAAAATTCACCTATACAAATTCGTCACATCTATAGCCCATTGCTACCGGAATGGGTCTTAATCCAGACTCGCGGCGCTGAGATTTGCATAGAGATGTAAACATATTGTTGTAAAATTTTTATATATATGCTAAGAGATAGCTGACATTGATATGAACAATATCACAGAAAATGTCAAGTTTTAGGCCTGAAGGTCTTTAATGTTTAACATCATTTTCAGATGGTATACCCTAAAGCGACAGATATATGTGAATATATATTATTATATAGTATCAAGTGGAAATCACTCAAATCATATCATCATTATTCGTTTAGACATAATTTATTATTGACTTACAATTAACCATTAACATGATAAAGTTATTCGTTACCTATATTTATGTCTTTCTATAATTATCACAGCATTAAAATTAATGGATTTTAAAAACACATCGAATTTAGTTTAGGCGTTACGTTAACTTTACATGATGATTAGTGTCCTTCTGGTTGCTATACGAATTCAGTTCGATGAAAACTTAGAAGGAGATGCGCTGAAATAGATATTCTTTGGGTATTTAAGACGCGAAGGTTTTAGGGTTTCAGGTACGACAACATAAACGAGTGCTCGTATTCTCATGCCACGATCAGTTCATCCTTATCAAAACTTGTTTTCCAGCAACGAACCTGTCAATGTAAACAAATCATGGAGATTATCAGTGAATAAAATATAATATTCATAATAAACAGATAAATATATACACATATAAATTTGAGTTTTATAATCCTAATGCAATATCAATTTACCATTTTCGGCGACCATCCATGCTGTTAGTTTCTCATCCTCCGTTTTGTTCGTCTCGTCCCAGGGAAAACTGGCCCCCTTTTCTTTTAACGTCTTTTGAGCTCTGAAATTATTTTGTTTTAAAGGTATTTGGAATTTCCTTCGTTTAGGGTTATCTGTGTTTTATTTATATATTGCATTGTATAACTAAGTAGCATGCA